TATATATATATATATATCTGTGTATATTTCGTGTATTATATATAACATATATAGTATGTGTATACTTCGAAATACACATCACATTGGTGTGTATCTAATGCTACTAAGTCTGTAGGTGGCTTCCTGCCTACTCGCACACTCTGTACCTTCCTGGTTGCTCGTCTGCTTCGCGGTTCGGCGTTGTGCACGCTTCGTCGAACAAGTATCGCATAACATGAAGATCTATATGTGCACAAGCAAATCAGCCTTCGTGTATTTTACAGACAGAAGATCAGAAAGCCAAGAGAAAGAAAAAAGACCAAAGAATCGGCAAAAAGAACATTCCTCTCTATCTATCTTTCCTTTCATACGAGAAAAGAGTCACTTCGGTAGTTGAAGACAAAAGGAACTCAGCTGAGTTGCCTGCTACACAAAAAGGGAGGAAACTGAACACGTTTTGGGATGCTGAAGTGCAGCAGGGGGCGTCTTCTCCCTAGTATGTAACGCTTTCGCTTGCCCTCTCTCTACGTGACGTCGACTACGGTTCGCTTCGATCACTGGCAGTCCCCGTCGACCTCCGGCAATCCGCTCTTGTTGGGTTGGCTGTGAGCCTGTGTAGGTATGTGTGTCTGTGTGTAGGTGTGTGTGTGTGCGTGCGTGCGAGCGTGTGGCATCAACAAAGAGCACCCCCAAAGCTAGTGGGGCATCTAGTGCGTATAGTGGTGGTAGTAGTGCATAGAGAGAAGGGTTAGGTTTTTTGGAATTCAGGAAAAGTCGAAAGGGCACCTGGGGTGGAAAGAGCTATATGTCTATCTGTGCATTTGTGTGTGTGCATGTATATGTTTGTATCTCTGTAAGTACGAATGGTTGCCTGTTTGTGAATACGAGTTCTTCTGCACAAACGATGCGCGTTACGTTATTCGCTATAGATCGTGAATTGCATAAGATTTAAGACGCATGAACGGCCGAGGTCCAACCAAATTGATAGAGAAATCGACTCGAAATGATAGCGCATAGATCGTAGCATAGAATGCAGGAAAGGCGAAGAATAGAGAAAGAATATATCTGATGATAAGACGAACGGCCGGGTCGTATTGGCAACATAAATTATTCTACCGCTACTAGGCACTGGTAGGCCGAATATGAATATAGTCGTATTGATTTCAGTAGCAGCAGGCTTCGTTTCGGAGGAAAAACGGAACCTAGCGTTTGACGGCGGTTGCAGTCGAAGTTACTTAGAAGGCCTGAGCATCAACAATGGCCAACTAGTCAACAAATCTAGACTATTAGTAGCAACTGCGCTTCTATTCTTATCAGGACTGTCGGAACGCTTTTCTGTTTCACTGTTTTTTTCGTCGTCTTTCTGTATCGTGCTTGTCTGGCTAGTTGTTTTAGGTGAGCCCGACCTGTAGCCCAAACAGGCTCAAACCTATACTACCGCTGCTGCTGTTACTACCACTGATGAGATCTTTGCTCAGGACGTATTTTGTTGAAAGCATGTCGACCTGCTTAACCGTTCCTTGCATGTGGTAACACTTGGCAGAGATGCTAGTAAGGCTCGTCTAATGACAAGCGTGTTGGTACGGAAGCAAATACTGATCATAGGTAGATATGACTATAGTACTTCTAGTACTAGTAAAAGGACACGGTAAACGATGACGACAGTACGCTAATGGCAAAGATCCGCGTTACTTCATCAACTAACGGGAATGACAGGGTTAAGGATGATCATGAAGAACGATTAAGAAGATCAGTTGACAACTGAACGTCGTTTTTAATACGAATCTTCAGTTATTAATAGGTACCGAAATAAGGTGCCTAGCCCTAACATCGGCGAACATGAAGTTCTTCGCTAGACGTATTCTTTCATTTTTTTCGTTGAACAGACCGTCTTACAGATGTTGAAGCAAGGATTATAATTATAAACTCAATTCCTCGTTCCCTTCCTAAGCTACCACATTTAATAGCGAGGCAAATTGATGTTGGACTTTTTTGCAGAACAGAGCAGGTGGCATATGAGGTTCTTTTGATTTTGAGCCGTGAAATCTTCAGAGGATCATCAATGGCTAGCTGTATAATTCTTTCATGAACTCAGTGTATCCTTTAGTATGATTAGTATTGCCAAAGAAGATATTCATATCTATTTTTATAGATCGTCTAGTTCCTGCTGGTCATCGCAGTGTTGTATCATGTAAGACATTCAAGACCACCTTTTCACACCACCCAAATAATCACGCTGTTAACTACAATCAGTTAAGCCCAGATACCATTCCCATTTCTAGCTTTGTTTTAGCGGAAAAAATGACACGGACGCTTTCAGTTTCAATAGCCCTGCATTAGCAGTAAGTAGTTCATTGAACAATAAATTAGACGAGACTCACCAGATCGTTATGCACAGCGACTGTACATTGTTAAGGTTCACTAAGAGGGTGCTTCAATTTACAAAAACAAAAAAGGAAAAGTGACATTTTTAGCACATTACCTTATTGCTGTTGTTATAACAACATATATTTTAGCCCAAAGCATGCATTTCCTTTTGCGTTTCTCAAGTATTTATAAGCGACAGAGCGTCGCCGAATAACTCGTATCTAATGCCATCCATACACTGTAATTCTATTATAGAGACAAATTACGCGTCTGTTAAGTCTAAGAATATTTCTATACACGTAATCAGAACAGCCTTCTCAAGGAAGGATAAGACAAACTGCCTAAGCGAGGCCACACAGACGACCTAAAACCCAGTGGTCGCTTCTAGAGCACCTGGAAACCGACATAGGGTGGAGGGGGTCTCGACTAAATAAGTGCGCTGAAGTAACCGTTTCTCTAACGACCGAGCGCACATCTGAGTACTCTTTACTACTGCGTGTAATGGTCGACGGGTGTGGGCAAATCTGGGTGGCTGGACGCGAGAAGAGCTCGTGGACGCGTACGGTACCGGATTGCGAATTGGTGAAGCTTACAAAACGACAGGCGAACATTGGATTCGGTTTCGGACAAGGGTAGCACACGGATGCAAAAGATAGTGTCAAGAGGTAAGGATGTGATCAGAGTCAGTAGTGGGAGAATGGGATGCGGGTAAAGTGGAGAAATAAGCGTGTAGTTTCTCGCGACTTACGGTGACAGCTGTAACCGTCAGTGGAGAGTACGTAACCTTCCGAGCAGCCACACTCGAATGTTCCATCGTGAAGATCATAGCACAGCTGCTGGCATGGCCCGCCTTCTGACTGGCACTCTCCTACAGAGCAAACGACAGAGAGACAAAAAGACAAGAGAACATAGGTGAGCACAAACCAGGAACGGCGAAGTTGGCAGCTGTTGTAGTAACGACTGCAGTACAGCCGTAAATGCCGCTATATATAGCTGAAAACAACGTGTCACTCCGTACCCATACCCGAACGCGCTTCGAGTGTTCATATAAGTACATTCTAACACACCGAGAGAGATCTGTTTGAGCTCATCTCACTAATATTTAATGGCCGGTTATGCGATAGACATGTACGAGAGAATCGTTGCACCGTTCCAGTATAGAAGTGCACTCTATTAGAAAAGAAACATGTGGAATACGCGTAAACGAAAATTACATTATTATCATTATGCTGTGAGCGTGCATTATATGAGATACGATATTTATAATTACATTTCCCAATGAAAAAAGACACATTTCTATCATATGCCAGCTACACGCAAACTTTCTACCATGTGAAAACCTGCATACTAGATTGCGTGAGTAATATTTTTGAGTGACTCTCGTTGAAAATGTTGTTGTCTTCGTATTATCCGTAATACGTTATATCGATTCACGTTCGCCTATCTTCACACGATGCACTGTTTAACAATATGTAGCACAAAAGCCTACCATATTTGTGCATTTTTAACAATACATTTTCAAATTACTGATGATTGAACGAGGAGAAAAGAAATGTGGGGATGAGACGCATCAATATGCAGTACACTGTGCACAATTGTGTGCACTGCTAGCTTTTCTGGCTAATTCTACGTTTTTCTCTTATTATCTCTATTATTTTTCTCTTATTTAACGATAGTGCGGCAGTGATTTTGGGCCCAAGCTCTCTAAAAGGTAAATCAGTTACTTTTCTCATCCACTACTAACAGCTACCTGGCCAGATGCACAAGAATTAAAAGCTCGTTTGAAAATTGTTAGGAACAGTGGAAGCACTTGTAAAAAAAACTCTGTCGTGTGCACATTATTGGAGAATGCTCAGCGTATGGGTGCTGCGATGTAGCACAGATACGACGATATGGACCGTATCAGATAACCGTTCAGCCATCGTTTCCGCTCATCGGGTCCGAGGAGTTCTGCCAGAAGCATTCATGCTCGGGAACATGTCTCAGGATTGGCCCAGTTACGCTGCCCCAGCAACACAGCAAACTTTTGGCCCCTTCGACTCATTTTCTACATTTCGCAACCAGGCTAACTGCGGTCATTCCGTTATGCCCACCTCCCTTCTGTGTCGCTGTCCTGTTAGCATTTTTAAATAATCAAAAACTCATCAATCCCTTTTCTCGAATACCCCCGATAGTAATAACAGCTCCATACGGTTTGACAGTCCTGCGGTACTCTGTTTTCAAGGGAGAATGGAGGAGCTAACAGACGGATGGATCTTGAATACTGAATGTGCCTCGAGTACCCAGTGCGCCAGATACCATGGGGTACAGACGCCGTATGCGGAAGAGAATGACAGAGGCCGAGCAACCATTAAACGCCGTGCGACGCAGTCGCCACTGACCCGTGGAAGAAATGCAGAGCGCACGATAAGGTTGGCCATTAATGATTTTGTTGCGTTTGAACTGCTTCTGTCGCAAGCGCCCTGGCTACTGTTGCCTCCTGGAGCACTGCAACGGCGCCTATGGGCTGTAATCCCGGTGGAACGCAACAGGAAGCTTTGAAGCAACGGGTAATTGGGGATTGAGGTCACAAGTAAAAAGGTGAGTATAAGTGCCACTGAATAGCCTTTCTCGTCAAGCGTGGCGTTTGTTTGAGAAGGACTCCTAAAGAGCTTTTGATTTTGGTTTGATTGCGGACTCGTGAGCTGGCCGACCGGCCAGCGTTGGAATCGTACGAAGCAGTGCGGAAGTAGTTCAGTAAGAAAAATATGGTATTGATTTTTTGAAAACGCGTGAACAGGAAGGCCACGGTTGGAGCGAGCCATCACTGTACAGTCAATCAGATATTTCTTGGAAATCTTTTTCGCCACGTTAGTTTCCACCATTTTGCGGATCTTTCGCTTTTTTTTTATTTCTCTATCTTGTTCGTTTTTGTTACGACCGAGACAGCGCCCCCTGTCGGAAAGAACGCTCTTGTGTGCAACTGTTGCAGGTTCGTATTGAACTAGTTGCTGGGAACTACTTCAATCTAGGAGGTAGTGCCATCTCCACTTCGTGTGTAGTTACGTGTACACTTATGAATATCTTATGATTACGAAGTGCAGTATTAACGGCATGGGCAGATGCCAATCATCTGAGTTTTGCTGGCAAGTCGCTAGATAGGCCCTAAGAGGTAGAATGTGCAGGAGGTATCCAAGCTTACCCGGACCCGCCGGATTCGCGTGACGTTTCGCCGACGATTTGCAGCATGCAGGCTTTCACATTATGTGGATGCCTCTCGACACCGATTTCGCTGTATTAGAAATGAATACGGCTTTATTAAGCGGGACACCAACACTTTGTTACACTGTACACAATATAAGCACCCCCGTGCAACTGCTTCAGCATTTTCAGGACATATTGTGTTCAACGTTCCTTAACGACGCTGTGATCGTGTCTTTTCCATTGTGCGCCTTTACGCAAACACAGAAGCCCTTTTCGCATCGAAGACCATCTGACCATATAGACAGTACTGGTCTAGCAGTAAGCTTGACCTTTGCGAACAGTTGACAGTGTGACACTCACTGAGTTTCTTTTACGAAACCAGCAGACGAACAGCCGGCAGACACAGTCCACTATAATGGCAAATGAACCCACTATATATTCTATGCTCGTTAAGCAGCAATATATCTCTTAACCTAAAGCACGTAGTGTACCATGCCACTATGTGTTAGCATGTTACCATATGCTCTAGCGTCTGTCTTGGGTCTGCTTGGGCCCCTGAATCAGGCAGTTTTTCGTCTAGGTTGATTCATGCAAACCTAACAAACTCTACATAGCAGCAATTATGCCATTCTATCTCTAGTTCTGTCAGAGCAACGGGAACTGGCCACTCCAATGTTTGTTTGCTCGGGGAGCAATGTCAATGCCATATCCTGAACGCATCGTACGTAATGGGCTAGCTGACTGTTCATTTACGGAGCAATGTTTACGTACCTTACACGCACTGGGAGTTAAATCTGGCAAAGTATGGTCGGCGACATAGTGGCGATACGCATGTTCTGCTATATAGTTTTATTGGCAGCATTTTTGTATACATACCAGATGCAGAAGTGAAGGATTGTTGTTTCCTAGCTAGAGAATTATTAAGCCAAAGTGGACACGTTAATGACCACTCGCAGAGACTGCGCAGTCTCAGCCCTCGGGGACGTGAGTGAACATACTTAGCTTCGTAGTTTCTTTGAGTAGGTATATGCGATCCCCGTAAACAAATGAGTCATGAAAGATAAAAAGAGAAAAACTTGATTCGTTGATATACGGTACACTGGCCGCAATGAGACTCGTTAGCAGCGGTATACGAACGAAGTGCCTTAGACCGAGTCGCTTGCTCAGAAATCGCAAAGCACTGAATGATAAGTCAAGAAAAATTGTACCGGCTTAATGAGAAGCGTGTCATACATCTATGACGGACCTATGAGGAACCTATGTTATTTTATATCAAGTCACGGTGACAATTTTGAATACCTGTAAATTTTTTTTGCTAAAGCCAGAAAAAGATCTGGTTAATAGGCGCCCTTTAAGCGTCATCAAATGTTGAAATGCTAAACAGATTTTGTAAAAAGATATAATTTTCATTTGCAATATTGTTACACAGCTGTTCGTGCGTTATTATATATTTAAATACTGAGGTAGCTGTAGATCGGTAAAAGGCTGAGCTTACAGATGGAATGTTCCCATATTTACGCCAAAGGATGAAAGTGTATGCATATTAGAAAATGCAAATTGTGACCCTATATTAAAGGCCTTCGATTATCTGTCCATACCTTCTTAGCCTGTTAAAACACAAAAATGCGGTAGTTCCCCAAACTTCTTAGGTGCAACGTAAGCCGCATCTTAATCTACACCACATTTTCTAGATCCGAAAACTTCGGCCCCAACGAAAATGTTATAGACATAGAAATCGGGAATTCATTTATGTGGAAGTTTACGCTGGCAGTCATCAAAAAAACTCCGTCAGAACCGGAGCATTTCGTACTGATACATGAGTTCACTTGAGGTTTCCGAAGCTTTCGCAGGGCAGTTGCCAAAGAGATTTACGGAACGACAGGGTCTAAGCAAGGAGGCATTTAGAGAGGAAAGGTTGAACCTAGCGAAAGAGAAGGAGCTGGACGTTTTTGTGTACAGTTCAAGAGCGCGCGAGGCAGTTGAGAAAAGGTGGTAAACGTCACCTAGGCGGCAGTGCATGACCGGCTGTGTTCAGTTCAGATTTAATTTCGGCTATGACTGCACTTTTCAAGCCGCCCACACCGCGCCCCATTTCCACCAGTTCCCGCCTGATTGACTCTTTTATTAACGCAGAAAAAGCGCAAGTTGTTCGTTGATTCAGTTGTCGTTCGTTCAGAAGCATTCAGATGGCCGCTGTACCGATGGCAGGAGCAGTGGCGGGTGGTAGCGGTCAGCAAAAGACGTTTTCAGCGATGCTTCATGCTCTTTCGTTGTCTGGAGTCTATTGCTCACGTTCGTTTCACTACGCGGCCGTCACCCGGTGGCAACTCGCTTGGCGGTGTATAGCTCGTGGCCTTGATGCCGCAGGCCATCGGTAGGCCGCTGTAGGTACTTGCCATCCCCTGCCTTTTCAGCCGGGTTTGGCTGATCCCTTCTTGTGTCTTCTTGTGTTGAGGAACACTACAAAGTGTTCCTCCACTGAAGGCTTCCACATCGACGTTTTGCTCTCGGTCTTCACCGCCGAATGGCTCCTTTCCACAGCTATCCAGATTGTTTCAGGCGAACCCTGAAGAACAATCGAATAGCGCGTTCCAGAACGGCCAGGCTGGCTTTGGTGTCGAGCGTCACTCTAGGCATTTCAGCTAGCGTTTACTTGGCCTGCCTGGAGCATTTCCCCCGGCTGGC